CAAACAGTTGACAATCACAACAAACCTCTCAATAATCAGATCCTTTCGATAACCACTGGAGTGTGCTTTCGGTGGTTCCTCACGAGGTTTGGTCACCACTTGTTTGACCGACTCTTTCGATTGTCTGAAAAGTGATAATTAACTCCAATTAGACATCAAATGGTAAACAAATGGACAAAACCTTTGATCCAAAAGTCGACTCATTCTGAGACCGACTTTGAGCACAGAATTCATATAAAGATCGTCTTTGCAGTCATTGGTGTAGTTAATGGCATAACATTTGGGACACTTGTTCCCGGTCTCCAAGACGTGTTTGAGGACACACTTCGAGCACAGATAGTGTCCGCAAGCCGTCAACGACGAGATCTTTTGATCATTTTTGCCACAAAGAGGACAACACATCTGTGCCATCAGTGCCGAGATCTTCTCGATGGTCTCACCACTGATCGCCATTTCGTGTCAACTATTGTCACCGATTTTCACCACAATTTGCGGATTATTTGCAAAACGAGTGATAATTTGCATTCAATTCAATGCATACGAAATGCACACAAATGTTGGGTTTTGTGGCAAAAATAGCGCCAAACGTATGACACATACAGTCAAACATCCCTATTATGACACCATTCACACCATTGTATGCTTACAGCATTCACTCACTAATTGTGGCATTAGTTTAAGTAATCAATGATTGCTTACCTATTGTTTGATGAGATGTCGACTAAACGCACAATTAGTTGATTGCAACGCAATGTGTGATTAAATGAAGTGAATTGTAATGAACGGCACAATCAATGCATTGAATGCATGGATGAGTGGAAACGTAGTGTGAATGCAATGCACGGCATCTGTGGTCGCAATGCAAACGTGTGTCTCAATAGCCTATCATAGGCTATGACTGTATGCAACGATTGCATCATAAGCTATATTTAATGTCAGACCCCTTTGCCCACCCCTGACAACAGGGAGGGCTCACCACTGGACTCGTAACACATAAACATGTCATCAATATTTGCATTTATGAATGAGCATGGTGAAATGTTGACATTATGATTAACAAGGCAAAACATAAAGTTTACGCAAGTTATAGCGTTAGGTTTAATAGGACCCTGCTCAATTGATTGATACCCCGTATGTGTCCGAAATGAGCAAGGTTATCAGATATGTGGCTATGTATGAGATTTAAGCCCAATTGGGCATAGATTGTGAACATTAGGCATACGTTTGCCTGAATGACAGGCCATACGATACGCGGGGATAACGCATATGAAACGAAATGCAAACGTTTGTTACATAAGTGAAGGATTGCCTCTCCATGAGTACATTTCCACTGAAACGCTATATAAAACTAATGCTGTGTTTGGCAGTCAGTGCTAAAGTAGGAGTCATATGATTCATACAGTCATACAATACACTGCTTATCACTGGTTGTGGCGAAAGCTTATCAGTCGTAAGAGCTTTTGAATCAACTTTTGAATAAAGTTTTGTACGTTTGTGTCGTTTGAATGTGTGTCCAGTTGTCAACACTTTATAATTGTGTCGATATTTATATTGTGTTCATAAATACAAACAGTTTATAATCGTTGAGTGAAAGTGCTTTCATTTAAAGCTTAAGAATCGACTGATTATTAACTCGTGAGGAATGACTACTCAGACAACGCCGGATACGCCGACAACGGCTGTATTGGATCCACACAAACGACTACTAATCCGAAACCAATTGCTTCTGATCCTACACTCGAAGACATGTCACTCGCAGTTGTGTCCCAAAGCGAACTGTTCCACTGTGAAGACTGTTCTCCAGCACATGAAGTCATGTACTGCCGGTTAGTGGACACCAACCCTCTCCTCAATACAGTATATAAACTATCGATTGATACCCACTTATAGCCAATTCATGTCCAGTTGCCCACTGTCTCAGCACCCGTCAGATCAGTTCCCATTGGCATAACTGTGTCCGCACTGACACTACTTGTGAGGTCTGTTCCCCATTGAAAGAGCGTTACATCGAGCGG